TTCTTCTTCTGGGTGACTCTCAGACTGATTTCTCAGGTCCCTATCTCTTCCCTGAGCTCCAGAGCCACACAGTAAGATACCTACCTGCCATCTACTTCATCTCTGCCTGTTTGTCTCAAGCATGCCCTGAACTGCAACAGCTATTTCCCTACCTTCTCCAAAGCTTTCTGGGGCCACAACATTTCCTCTGCCTCAATCTTGGCGTATTTCCAACCAATCACCAGACATTTGTCAATAACTCTGAAGTTGTATTATTGAAGAAATATTCAGAAAATACTGAATAGCATGAAGAAGAGTAAGGACAAAGGAGGGAGAGGTAGAGAGAAAACAGAGGAGGAAGAGAAGCAGAAGAAAAACTGATTCATAATTCTACACTTCAGAGACACTTCATGCTCTGTCTTTAATCTTTTGTTAAAGACTTTTCTCCCTGTATGTGTGGTATCATAATTCAAATGTTGCTCTGTAACTGATCTTTAATTAAAAAAAAATTACCAAAAAAATTACACACGATCTTTGTAACTCAATATATAACAAACCTCAAATACTATTCTATAACAGTATTATATTTTATCATATGCAACATAATATTTTATTATTTTACTATATTAAAATTTATTTAACAAAACCCAAAGTTATAGTGGTTGCAGTTTTTTCCTACTTTAATTACTGCTGTAGTGATCATTTTTTTTTTACATCTTTCATGGTCCCTTATAAGGAAATAGGAACATAAGGTATGATGAATTCTAAGTATTTTGATATTGATATTTGATATATCTAACATAAAACTGACCTCTGGAAATTCTGGACTGCAGTACATACCCCCACTTTTCCATGTTTCCCATTTTACTTATCAGAATAAGCAAAGTCTGTTTGATCAGTTCAATGGTTCTTCCCTTCCCATATCTGGCATTAGTGTCAAGAACCATTCTGTGGGAGGCTGCAGTACGTGCCCTTTGTAGGATCAGCTTCACCATCAGGAAGAGATACACTATTTAACAGACACTTTCATTGGAATAACTCCTGGTATGTGATTTGGGTTAATTACTGTCATCATCCTTCAAGCCCTTGGCCTGGCTTCTGTTTGGATAAGCAAATTTAGCATTGGTGTCAAGCCAAAAAATTAATTCTCAATGTAGCTGGATATAAAATGCTATGAAACCCAACTGTTAAGAGGGAATTGAAGCATCCTAATGAAACACAGCTAACGAAGACCAATAATTTACTGGACACTCTACAGGAGGGTGTTGCTTTCCCAAACTACTGTGTTATTCATTCTTTTTCTACAAAAATACTGCATTTGGTCCTGGACACACTGTTGTGAATAACAGGTTTTATTTGAATTTTTAAAAAGCAAATTATTTCATACTGGGAGAGAAGTTTTAAAAATGTCTTGTTCTGTCCTTCAGAAGCCCTAGGGAAAGTTGGCACAATTCCCTTCTGCATATTTTTGTATAAGATATATAAAATTAACATACTGAAACAATTATCCCTGAACCAAGCTCACAGTTGCAAAGTGTAGAGTATGTGTGGGAGGACTATAGTGATTTAATAGAGTCTGACATGAAAGCCAGAAGGGGGCAGTCTAGATACTCAAATAGTATTTCCAGTTTATTTTATTCAGGGAATAGTAATAAATGTTTGAGGAAATAAAATTATATTTGCGATATAAATCTAAACCAAACGAAGAAAAAGAATATGTTGAAACAGTTCAAGTTATTTTGGTCCCTATTAAAAAGTCAAACTAATATTATAAAGTAATTTTAATTCTTAAATTTCAAAGGGAGGGACTCTCAGACACGATTCAGTCCAATTCCTTTCCTTTCCACCTCCCTTCTTCTGGGTAGCTAAGTCAGTTGCCCCATGAGCCCTTCCATGAGGAAGATTGTTTCTCTATCTCTGTAAAGAGTCTCTAACTGATGTAAAGTTCCTGCCTACTTGTATCCTCCAATATCTAGTCTATCTTGATTCTGCACAAATTGGAAATAACTGGGTAATTAAAAAAATAGAAAAATTAGATTTAAAATCAGGAAAACTTTCTCCACGTAATGTTATCTTACCAAATAGTAAAGGAGATAAAAAATGAAAGCTAGACTAGAAAATCGTATAGAGAGTGATAAATCAGAAAATACATGAAAGTAGGCAGATATGAACATATTTTGGAAAAATGAAAGTAGATCTCGGATTTCTCAAACATAAGATTAAAAAAAAATTGATTACCATGACTAAAAACAAGAAAAGATCAGCATAGGGGAAATTCATAGACCTCCAATAACATTTTTGTCACAGTCATCAAAAAGTAAGTTTGATGCTGGGTTCTGTTGAGCAGAACATGCCATGTCAGAACTGAGGCCATCTTTCGGATGTACTCCTCACTGCAATAGTAAGTTGCAGAATGCTGGCTCCAGTACGAGCCTCCACAACCTGAGGAATGTTTAGAAACCGGTTCTGCAATCAAATCTGTAATCAAATGGGGACTGGGGTTCTTTTTTCAAGAAGAAATTTTGTAAAAGCAGTTCACAGAAACTTTAAGAGGTTTAATTTAGATATAACTAACAGTGATTTTTATAAATAAGAAAAAAGTGATTAACTATTGAGGGAAGGGTACGATTATGTTTACAACAATATTTAATGATTTTTAAGTTTTACGCTTTTAAGCAAGCTACTTATTGAATGCACAGTGAGACAATACACAGCTGAAAACTCTCTTTATGATTTAGAGATGTGTAGATCCCACAGCACACAAATTTCAAAGTCTGCTTCAGTGTTTTTGGATTTGATTTTCTTGGAGATCCTTAAAAACTGACAAATTTAAATGAAAGGTATTGTTATAATGGTAAGAGAAAAATAAAATAAGTGATGTATTAAAAGTTCCTTGAGTGTTCTTTCAGTCTCTAGTTTGTTATTCATCCCTTTAAAATATTTCTGGAACACCAGCTCACATGTCATTATTACTCAGTGTTTAGTTGAAGCATGTTATTTAGATGGCA